ATTTCCAAAAAGGGTGATCCCACAAGTGCTTTTTGGTTATTCCTTCCATTGGAACACAACTGTCATTGCTAAAAGATTCTTCCTTATAATTAGCTGAAATCATCTAAGCTGTCATTAAATGTTCTGTAGTGGCAAGAAACTGAATAAATTCAATAGAAAGGAACACTGACAGCAAGAAGAAAACGACTGAGCACAGAACAAGCAAACCATTGGAGCAGCACACACCAAGCCACCCAGGACAGCACCCACTGTGTCAAAGTGAATAGTGGGAGGAATAGCAAGAGCAAAAGAAAATAATGAGGAATGCCCACAAAGTACATAAGGATCTGCCCACAAGGGCAGCAAAGCCCGACAAATGGTAGTCATAGAGGATACTGAGCTTGTAAGCAGAGTCCCTGGGCGGAACAAATGGTTAATACACTCAGCTACTTATGAAAGATTGAAGTTTCAAGTCCACCCAGAGGCACCTGGGGAAAAAACTGGACAATCTACTTCCAATAAATCAGCCATTGAAAATCCTATGGAACACAATTTGACACACATGGGTTGCCATGAGTTGGAATTAATTTGATGGCAACTGGACTGATGGAGCTTTTATCTGAAACTTTCATCGAACTACAGGTCAAAATATTTCAAGAAACATCGGTCTGCATAGCCAATGGGATCAACATCAATTGGACATGAGGTTGTTGTCCCAAATTCAGGGAAGTCATAAAACTCCCAGAAATCATAATATTCTTATAGCAGTTGTCCCTCTTGGAACTAAAGCCATCATGGAGACAGCACAGAAAAGAAAGAAAGAGAGAGAGAGAGAGAGAAAGAAAGAAAAGTCAACTCCAAATAGAAAAGAAAAATGGTTGTAACTATAAAATCTCCAATTTAAGAATTATTCAGATATTCTGAGCCCCTGGGTGATACAATAACTGAAAGGTTAGTGGTTTAAACCCACCCAGAGGCAACTTGGGAGAAAGGCTTGGCAATCTGCTTCTGAAAGGTCACAGTCCTACTTTGCATGAGGCCACCACAAGTCAGAGTCAAGTTGATGGCAAAGGACCAAATACTGTTTGACCTGAAATACTGTGCTTGTGTGACTCCCAAGATGCATTCAACCTCTAGACAGGAAAAATCGATCCCTGATCAGGTCCACCTGCCCTCCTATCACCAGACAGAGAGGGATTACAGAGTTAATATAGGGAGGATATTTAGCATAGCATAAAAAAAGCTATCGTTTCTTACCTACTCCTTCATTTTCCTGGACCTCAAATACAGTCATTGTAGATGGACATGTAGGTGGATTATCATTAATGTCTGTAACTTCAACATGAATTCTCAGTGGCAACGCAACTGGCTTTCCATGCTCATCCTTTGCAACCGCATAAAAAACGTACTACAACAGGAAGGTCAGAATTAAGATGCGACTCCCTTACTATCCCCATTAAAGGCAAAGAAAACAG